AAATAAATAAAATTTTTAAAAAATTGTTTAAAACCTCAGTGACACTGATGACTCTTAAAACAAAACAGAAAATGAGGAGTCCATGATCGCACACACACACAAGCACGCTTCAGGAAACAGATGGGGCGGGCAGGCACTGGCTGAGAGCCCTCTACACGCAGATGCTGCTGTCTTCAGGTGACAGGGATGAACCAATTAGGAAAGGGGCAAAGCAAAGTTAAGACACCTGACAGGAGATAACAAGGGGGCAACACAGCCAGAAAACGACCCCCAGTGAGGGGTGTCCATGGCAAAGTTCCCTTGGAGAGCACTGGTGGGGCTGGGAACACACAGAGGCTCAGTGAGCACGACCACTTCTGATGTCGTGGGGCATCAGTCTTGACAGATCAGGGGCCAAACCCAAACCCCAAGATCCCTTAAGACAGCCATCCCAGAGCAACCATCCTCTCCTGGATACTGCAGTCCCGATGAGCCCAGGATTCTGAGCTGAACAACTTCTGCCCACTTCAGGAGAGCACACACCCAGCTCCTCTCACCTCTGTGCCCCAGTGGGGGGAGTATCCACATGCAGGCAACTCCTACATCAACAACTCATCAACTTCCTTGCAAGTCCTCCTTTCCTACCGGCAACCCCCCTAAGTAAAAGGTGCGCCCAGTTGGTGCTCCATTCTCTTTAAGAGAGAAATTGGTAGGTAAAGAGGTAGACAGACACCTCTCTGGAACTTTAGTCAGTCTACCATCAAACCTGTGTCAATTCACCTTTTTCTCATTCATTGCTTATGTCTAGGCCCTTTCCTTGTTTGCCATTTTTGTGAGTTTTCCCTGTTTGTTATTTTAATTACAATGAAACTTGCAACCCTGCATTGATCTGTGTGTCCCACACTGGGTCCTAACACAGAGGCTCATACTCACCATGCCCATCTGTCCCACTCAGGATGGACAGGTTCATCCACCCCTGTGACCACAGTGAGACAGTGCTATAAATCCCAGCACAAACACCACTGTTCAAAACATATCAAAACTCATCTAATCATTATTTTATCAATTTATTTCAACTAAACAATGAAAACAATTCAAAGTTCTAGAGTGGAGGTGAGAATTTCCCATCCAAATTCTGCACTCCAATGCTCACCACTGCAGCTACAGAATGGTGGACACTGAGCCGGTGGTGTTTCTTCTCAGTAGCACTGCACTGTTCTCTAGGCTGCTGACCTCCCCACCAGGCCCTGAATTCTGAGCCGGACCTGAACAGAGTCTAACTTACACTCTCCTCTGCATGCCCATGAAGGTTAACAGGCATTCTGGGGAACTGATTCTCACTCTTGCAGTCTGACAAGCTAGCACCACCAGCTTTATTAAGTGATCACTAGTCCTGGGCTTGCCCAGTACCTGACTAGGTACACCTCCCCAACAACCCTCCTGCATCGCCTATCTCTGCCTTTTTTTTTTTCTAGATCTTTTGTAAACAAAAAAGAACCATGAAGAGGGGAAGAGAATGACTCCAGCATTTTCTCTTCACCTTTAGCCCAAGATAGAAACAGAGCTGTCGAAGTTGGGACCTAGATATTGGTGAAATCTTAAAACACTGAGAGAAAGGCAGCTTCTAATTTCCTGCAATCACAACCTCAAAGGTGATATACTACCCAGAGGCAATGGAAAGCACACATTTCAATGTGGTAGGTGTTACACTTCGCAGAGAATGCTGGAGGGAATGTGTGAGTGTGAGCCGTGAGCCCAGTGGGATGACAAGAAGCCAGAGGACCAAGAGGGAGGTGAGGTGTTCTGTGCAAGGAAACTTGAGAACTGGGCATTCTAGTCTTAAAAGCAGGAGGTACAGCAGGAGGATCCCCAAGTCTGCTGCAGTCTGTTCTGGGGGCAGGGCTATCTGACGTGCCATTCCACCTGGCTGCACAGCCTCCTGATTCCCACCCTTGGTAGACACAGGGGCATGGGATGATCAGGGGGCAAAGCTAAGGTGACATAAGAAGACATATGGCTGGGCCCCAGGGCTTCAGAGGCCCAGAGCGGTGCTCTGACCTGCAAGGCCCTGGTGCAGAGACAACAGAGCACCCTCTGAGGTTCCTACTGTTTGACTCACCATGATACAGAGAAGTCTTCGGCTGAGTGTGCTGACTACATGTGCAGGGCTACACACGCTCTCACTCAGCTACTAGTGTCTATCCGGCTACCTACCAGGCACGCCTGCCAGTTCCCCGGCACCAAGACCAGCTTGTCTCCAGTGTCCTGTCACAGCAAATAACCTAAAGCTTTTTGTGCACATTCCTTTTTCCCAGATACCTACCAGGGAAATTTGGGAGTCAAGAGCCTGGTGTTTTTAAAGTCCTTGAGCAAGATGCACTATCACGCTGTCAACATAGTACACACCAATTCACTGCTTGAAATACTGACTGAGCACCTACATTTATAAAACATGTTATTAATTTGATGTTTAAAAGTATCTCACTAAAGTGTTTCTGACTACAAATTGAATGTCTACAATCTGTCTCTCTCAAACCTCTGTGGATGTTCACCTGTGACCTGTATGTCTCCACCTGGGTCTCCACTCCACTCTCTGCCTATCAATCTATTCCAATGTGGTTACTGGCAAGTTCACGATGGAGCTGTAATTCATACGTCTTGCAGCTGGGCAGCTCTGAGCTACCAGTGGCACACGTAGGACTATAATCAGATGGCATGTAACAGTCCCTTTGCATGGGAGAGGGCTCCAATGGGACAGCTGTGCATGTACCACTGGTGCTTCGATCCATCCAACAGGAGCATTTTAATCTCTTAAGTATCATATTTGCCAGCATAATGCTAGGTTAATTTCATTTTGTTAATATTGTTCTCTGTGGTACAATTTCATATAATCTTTTTTATTGTTAATTGTTAACTCATTAAGTAAAAAACAATTAAGCAGCAGCAACAATTCACTGGTTTTTGTTTTTGTTTTTGTTTTTTTTTTTAACAACACTGAATACTAAACCTAGAGCCTTTGTACTGTGCAACATCTCCAGAGCTTTTTTTAAATTTCTGAAAAAAATCACTAAGTTACCTAGGCTGGGCTTGAACTGAGGATCTTCCTGCCTCAGCCTCCAAGTGTTGGGATTATAGGCCCATATGACCATGCCCAATTACAATCTTAACTTTTAATCCTGACCACAATATATTAGAAAATTATTAGAAAAAAAAAGATTTTTACAATCATTATTCAATCAAAACACCTAAATTCATTATAAACACAACAGAATTACTTACTGAATCCAAAAAGCAAAGGTAAGATCCTGAGCTCTGTGCAACTGCTTTATTTTTAGAATATCCAACTGTTGGGGAAAAAAAGAGAAAAGCTCTTTTATACTTCAATTTTCAAAAGCATGAGACTTAATACACTTTGTCCTCCAAGAAAACTAACAACATTTTTTACTACTACCCAAAGCCAGGTTAGTGAGGACAACATTCCCATGGGTATCAGGACCACAGTGACATGGCACTTGGAACAAAAATTAAAATAAGAGTCCCTGGGAAGAATCAGTGAGGTCTGTAAAGAAACAGGATTTCATGCCTGGGACACAAACAGACCTCACATAAAGGTGACCTAGCTGGACACCTGGTGGGTTCCAATCTTGGTGCAGTCACCATCAGTGTCTGATCATCTGAGCACACACACCCCTGCACTGGTCACTGCTCTGCAACTGCTCTGTCCCTCAAAGTGTGCTTAGCTTCAGAACCCAAAGCTGGCAGCAGCTCAAATGCTGGTGGGAAACTGTGATGTCTGACAGTGAGTGCAAACAGCCACAGCCACACACAGCAGCACGGGAGACAGTCACTGCAAGCACAGGTGCCAGAGACAGAGGGGACAACACATAGCACAGATCAGCCACAGCTCTTCTGTGGTTTAGGAATAAGGAGCGGCTGCCCTGGAGGAGGTGCCCAGGGGCCAGCGGGGCTGCTGGGGCTGGTGATGCTGTCTTCACTGGGCCACTGGTTTCCCAATGTGGTCCATTCATGATTTTGATAAGTGTACTCTTCTAAAAGATAGATAGATAGATAGATAGATAGATAGATAGATAGATTTTTTTTCCCCTTGTATTTTAGAAAAGGGTCTACAGGGTGTTCAGGGTCTTGCTACTAGATTGGACTCATAGTGATTCTCCTGTTTACAGCCTCCCAAGTGCTGGGATTACAGATGCGCGTCACCACACCCAGTCTCAGCGTGCCTGGGGGCAGGTTTGGCAGGGCAGGCTAAAGGATATATTTGAATAAAAGTATTTTTAAAATCCAGATTTTCAAAGATATTACAGCTGAGTTGGAGAGGGTTAAACAATGTGCAGGATTAACTGCTTAATGAGTGGAACTGAAAAAGTGCAAGAGAGACATAAAACACAAAAAACATCATAAAAGGAATTACAGAGGGAATCTGAGGTGCTAGGATGTAAATAAATAGGAAGTGCAAGAATGCAGGACTGACTATTGGGGAACGCACAACATGCGTTTGGAAGTTGAGCAGGTGCCCACTGCCACAGGAACTGACTGCTGTGCTGAAAAGACTCAGCTTCATCTGTCGGCAGGGGTGGCCCCAAAAGATTTCTAACTAAGGAATCACATGATTAACATTTAGCAAGCTCAGCAAGGACATGTAGATGGGGGAGGCAGGACAAGAGTGCTGACAGGACTTTAGGGTAAGAACCCACTGTCCCTAAGGAAAGAGGCTACCAACACCTGAAATGAGTTATCCAGCTGGTTATGGATCTGATGCCACCAAAAAAAGTCATAGGAAATAAAACAGATGTGTGTAGAGTTGAAACAATAAATCTGTCTGGTATTCAAAGTTAGGACAAGCTGAAGAAAGCTGTTGTTCCCATAGGGACATAGCCCCTGGCACTAACCTGTTTCCTACTAAGAGAAGGGAAGGGCTCTGCTATGTAGGCTCTGTCCTGTTACTGGGAGGAACAAAAAGCAAAATCCAGCAACACAGCCACTGGACCCTCCCTCACATTCTCAATGGACTCAGCTGGAGTAGTGCTCTTCTGAGGGGGTGTCCTATAACATGGCAGCTTAATCGCTAGCAGTAATCCTTCAAGCTCAGCCAACACAAACCAATGATCAGAATGACCCCAGATTTCCAGGAAAAACACATGAACAAGAGCAGAGGGAGAACCGACATTGAGGAGGCCAACTGCCCAGCTCCTGCTTGAGGTGACTTCAGCCACCACAGAACAGCAGTGACTAAACCTTCATGAGTGCTATACAGGGCAAGAACACAGGAGAACCTCAAACACAGAGCTCCTGGCAACATGAAGGATGGCAAGAGACTTTCCACAATCACACTGTAATCAGCTGGAGTGCTGTTCAGAAAGCTGCTCACAGGAAGAGTTTTATAAGAGAAACCAAATCCAGGAGTTTAGGTAATGAAGGCAGATGTATCTCACAGAGGAAGCTGGAAGCTTCTCACAATTAATCTTGTGTTTTCCAAAGACTCAGAATTTGCATTAACATCACTGTTTTACAGAAAGTCAAAAAAAAAAAAAAAGAAAGAAAGAAAGAAAGTCAAATGTTTGTGCAGGGGTTCATGTCTGGGTAAGCCAGTGCCTTCATGAGGGGAACTGGTTGCCATGGTCACAGCAAGGCAAAGTCAGCTCCAACAGATGTTAACATTTCTCATCTAGAAGAGGTGGGTCATGCTTCATTTTGATTTTAGCAAAGTGACCACATGATGAAAAAGTGTTGTTCTAGCAGGATATAAAATGATGACAAATGAATCTTAACTCTACTTAAATAACTGACACTCCTGAAAAGACTTGGAAACCATGTTATCTAATAGCTAATATGACTTTTCTTATTTAAGAAAATCTACTACAGGAAAGACTCCTTTCAGACAGACGTAGGCAGAGTATACCATTTGAACATGTAACACAGGGTTCCCATGGATGCTGTTCATCCACTTCCCACAGGCAGTGGGCACTCCAGTACACCCCCTCCAGAGTCACAGCCATGGCTGTCACTGAAGATCATGTTCCAGTGGCATGGCCTATGGGACAGCCATCTACAAGGAGCACTTTAAAAGACAAAACTCATTTTTAAAATAGAGGTAAGGCACAAATGCCTTCAATTTGTTTCTATCCAGCAAAATCTTAAGGAGTATTAAAGGATGTTCAGACTGGTCTCAAAACACAACTTTTACACCCATTTTGCAAGCTGAAATAGACACTGTACAGTAACTGAATTATAAGAAGTTATCTATTTCAAATGAATGGAAGAAAATAAAGACAAATAATTTAGTATGGTAATGCATGCCTATAATCCCAACAATCTAGAGGCTGAGGCAGGAGGATTATTGTCAGTTTGAGGTCAACCTGCGTAGGCCAGCCTGGACTACTTAGCCAGATCCTGTCTCAAAAAAAAAATGTCAAAAATATATTAACATCTTCCAGACGCACGGGATGACAAAGATGCTAACAAAAATGGGAGCTACCAGCACTACATGAGAGCCGAGGCAAGGCCCGTCCTAACATTCTCATGACCCCCAGCAAGGACCCTGCTATCGTGGCCTGTCTGCACACAGGAGAGAGGCATAGCATTGGCCAAGTGCCAGCCCTGTAGCCCAAGTCACAAGGCCCCTCCTCACACCAGGCGCTAGCTTTATGCCACTGAGACATGCTGCAGAGATCACCACAGCACTGCTAATATCAGGTCCTTCCATGTGACTTTTAAGATAGCAGACACTTTTTTTTTTAAAGGATTTGCTTTTAAAAATTACTTCCGGGCTGGAGAGATGGCTCAGTGGTCTAAAGCACCTACTTG